CCAAATCCCAGAAATATGGGAACTCAAGGGCTGTGCTCCTGAAATCTGTCCTTCACACACATGCCTCCCCTGCCTGCTGATGTTCTGACGCCTGCTGATTAAAAGCTGTTCCTGCCCAGAGCAGACAGACAGAGCACACTGTCCTTTTATGAAAATCTAGCAGCAAGCAGGTGTGAAATGAAGATAACCACTCTCCACCCCTGTTCAGAGGCCGAAGATACTTCATTATCTGAAACCCAGATAAACAGCAGGACCAGGACTGGGTGCAGGAGAGCTGAGGCAGGCAAGTGGGGGCTGCAGAAGGAGTTAGCAAGAGCTAATGGGGTGATTCAGTGCTGGAATGCAAGGTGAGAAAGTGAGTCTGAGGCTGCTGATAGCCTCTGTAGGACTGGATGGGGAGAGGCACAGTGATGGAGCAGCAGTGGAAGGGAAGGGCAGGTGGGCAACACGGAGGGTCAAGGACAGAGAAAAACAAGCTTCCAGCTTTATCTCCTGGACATTGCTGCCTATTACAGAGACATTTTCACAGTACTGAGGGGTTTATTGACTTGTTCAAATACAGCTCATGAAATTATCACACATCAAGAAGGATATCGCTAAAGGCCATTTAGCAACTTGGAAAACAGAGGACAAGCTAAGGGGAGGCAGTGAGAGAAGCACTTGGTGCATGAAGTGAAGCCACATGCCTTTCGGGGGACACTCACAGCCCTTCTCTGATCGGCCTCGTGAGCCTTATTCAGGGTGAGCAGGAATGTTGGGCATTTCCCCTGATTCATCCTTCTGTTAATAAGTACTTGTCGTAAGTTATGTGATACTGTATGTGGAAGGCTCAGCACCAGGCTGGGCCCACAGTAAGTGCTCAATAAATGTGATGGTTGGGGACCCTGAGAACCTCTACAGACACAGGGCTCCATGGTGAATCCCAGCAGGTTGACTTGGTAACCTTGACTGCCTAAATTGGTGCTCATCATTTTAATTTCAAATAAATCACTTTATCTCCAGGGAAAGGACACAGAGAAGTCCAAAGCCTGACTCAGTAGAATGGTTTCACTAAATTCAAGATAGTGGAACAAGACAAAACCCAATGGGGAATTATAGGCCTGTGGGCATTTGTCTTTGCATTCCACAGCAGTTGGGCAAAGAGAAAACAGTAAACATAACATGCTGGAATAAAGATAACAGAGTTTAGGGTTGTAGGCTCTCCAGGACAGACAGCTGGAGCTCAAATCCTGATCTGCACATTCAAGCTGGTGACCTTGAACAAGTTGTTTTACCTCACCAACCTCGGTTTCCTCATCCATGTAGCAGAAGGAATAGAATCCATCCCCTAAGGGTTCTCATAGGGATTCAATAAGCCAAAGTACATGAGCAAGTGCATGCAACACACGTGGCGTGTGTGTGGCAGATCAGTGTCCTTGGTGGCAGGCAGTTCTCACTTGCTCTGCCAAGGGCCCAAGGTCACAGACAGAGGGCGTGGTGGAGCCGGGATGACCCTGGAGCCCATGCCCCATGAGTTCAGGCTAGTTCCCTGGGAATACATACACCTCCCCGTTCTACCTCCTCACTGTTTTGGCAAGAGAAGAGGGAGACCCAGCCAAGGCAGGGAGGCCCAGGAGCAGAGCAAGACAGAGCAGACAAGAAAAGGCAAATCCATGAAAACATAATGCTAAACATTGGAGGTATTAGGGAAGCAGTCATTGGACCCATTCTTAAAAGAGTCAACGTAGCAGGGAATGTGAAAGGGAGAAGACTCTCAGCCCCACTCTCAACCCTGAAATACAGTCTGACTCATGCAGTCTCCATGGGAGCTGATGAGTATTAACTGATTACTTTGGAGCAGGTGTGACAAAACCAATCTCACCCTGGCTATTACAGCTACGCTCACTGAGACTGTTTCAGTCAAAGGTTGTCACATTCCTGTCACTCAGGGCTTCCCCACCTAAGCCTGTAAGTGCTTAGATGGGTCTGAAATTCTATTTCCGTCTTAAGCTAAACCAAGGGGTCTCACGTGGTGTGTGTGTAGGTGTGTGCGTGCGCACACACGCGTGCGTGTGTGTGTTATTAGCATGCACGTGCATGTGATAAGAAGTTGGGATAAGGATGAAGTGGGAAAAATAATTTACTGCACATTCAACAAATACAAATTAGCCTAATGAATACCAGACACTGTTCAAGATGCTGGAAAGATACAGCAGAAAGAAAGATGCATAGATCCCTGCCCTCGTGGAACTTACACTCTTTAAGGAATTTCCTTCCTTCTTTTTCTCTTATTAACTCACTCAATAAGTTCCCTGGGGTCAGACTGCATCCTAACCTGACTGCTTAGCTAGTGCAATGTTGGGCAAATTTCTTCACCTCCAATTCCCTCTTCTCTCAAATGGAAACAAGAATAGGACCATTAAGACCTACAGCTATGTGAGGATGACTTTGAGAAATGGCCAGGAAACTGGACTCTAAAAAGGCCCACACATGGCCTGTTAGCTGGCAGGCAAAGGATGATGGATGAGGAGCTTGTCCAGGTCTGAGTGGGCCAGGACCTCTACCTGGGGTCCATTGTGCACCTCTGAGATTGACCACCAGATGAGGCTACATGCTGCACGAGGCTGGGCCTGGGCAGCCGTCTTACCTGCAGCTGTCTCCAAATGGCTAGCAAGCTGGCCCCATACCGGAGAATGGCATGGAGCCCCACTCTATGTCTTGACTACACTGAAATGCTTCTGTATCCTTGAGATAATTTGATTTATTCAAGTGTCCACTCTTGACATTTGTCCCTAAGTGGTCAGACTCATGGGCATGAGGGGGAAATTCACTGAGGTCACAAGTCAAGAGTTTAGTGTAGGGCTTAGCCCAGAGGTAGCAATTATATGTTAGCTTTCTTGTCATTGAGCATTTGCTGTGTGCCAGAAGCCACACACACACACACACACACAGGCTTGATGCAAAGGACAGTAAATGTAAAGTGACAGGTATTGTCCCCACACTAGCAAAAGTAACCTCTGGCCCCTCTTGAGCACCTTTAAGCTGAAGGAGCTCATGTTCTGTGTCTTCCTTCCTTTTAAAACATGGGGAGGGTATTATAAATGCCAGTCACGTGTTTGTAATGCTAGAAACATTCTATACATAAGAACAGAGGCTTAATTATAGTTTTAGAACCGACGTACTACACTCTTTGAGAACGTATAAAGTAAAACTTGGAAGTATAAAAATAGAAATAGATTGGAAAGTAAGACCCAGGCACTCATTGAATCATCTTTTACGGGGCAGGTGGTGGGGAGGTAGTTGGTACGTCCTAACAGTTACATATTAAGAAATACAAGAGTCCTCTTAAAACTATACACTAGAAGTAATGAAAACCAATACCACTAACAGAAGTCACCTTTCTGAGTTGGGATCAAAGATAAACCAGAGGAAGACAGACTTTTAATTTTCATGACTGTGATATGTATGTATTAGTTATAGACTATGAACACCCCAAACTCTTTTGTAGCCACTGAACTCACAATTATCCATGCTTTTTCACCAAAAGCTTGAGAGCTGGCTTTCCCCTCTCCCCCAACTCCATCCTTAGGGAGGAGCTGCATGGAGATTTCAGCATTTCCTGGATCCAATACATGGATTGTTGATGTCTTTGTCTATTCTTTTATTCAGGTTGACCACATCCATTACTTTAATTCAGTAACTGCCTGCAAGTGGGTGAGCCCTGAGTCTCTACATCTAGTTCAGTGGTTCCCCCTATACTTCACACAAAAACACAGAACTGCCAGTTGCTCATGTCTACTTGGCAAACCTACGGGTGCCTCAAACTCATTGTTTCCAGTCTCGGTTCTCTGTTATTGGAATCACCTGACCTAACAGAACACATGGTCTTTGTTGATAACTTCTCCCACACGACCAATCCTTCATGGAGTTGTTTTGAAAAATAAACCCCCAAAAACATGGGGTGGGGAGGGATTGTTTCTGAGCACTCATGCACTGGTGTAGTTTATTCCCAGATGAAAGGGAGGAGGTTTCCGATCCGCAGAAAGTGGATGTTCTAGAACCTTCTTCTCAGAACTGTGCAAAGCGATCGTGTATGTGAACAGAGCTGAATAAATGGCAGCTGTGAATATCACAGTCCCTTGCATGGGGAAGGTCCAAGAAAGTAGCAGTGAGAACATGGGTTTTGAAAGCAGAAGAGCTGGGTCAGAGCAGGTTGTTCTGTTTCTCCGAGCCTCAGTCTTCCTTGTCTGCAGAATGGGATAATCCCATGACAGGCCTCATGGAGTTGAGAGAAATCGGTGAAAGTGGGTGAGGGGTGCCCGGCACGTGCGTGGAAAAGGCGCTGCTATGGCTCTTTTGGGTAGCACTGTGGGTTGGGAGGCCAGGTAGCGAGTCTCCCAGAAAGGCTGTCTCCTAACCCTCTGCTTTTGCTTTGTTTTGCTTTTAAACTCTCACTGTTTAATTGCTGGAGCCCAATGTCTCTGGGAAGACGACCTGTCATTCCTCGGGAATGCTCTGTGTTCTGTCGACAAAACATTTTCGAATTGTGTGAGTCAGAGGCCGCTAACGACCAGAGGAGAGGTACCGGCATTTCTGCCCATGCTACACACGAGGGCCCTGCAGCTCAGAGAGAGCCCGCCCAGCTCACCCGGCACTGTGGATCTCAGGCCTCTCTGAACCCGGAGCGTGCGCCTTTCCCGACACCACCATGGCACCATGGGCGGGTGCCACCTCCGGGTCCAGCCTCTCCTCTTGCCCCTTTCCTCTTCGCTAAGGGGTAACATAGAAAGAGACAGCCCCACCTGAACTTAATCCCGGCACCAGGGTCTCAGTTAGAGCAGGAGATTCCAAAGTCCACCTTCTCTAGGTGGTACGAGAATTAGATGAACTTTTAGAATAAATGCACACAATGCCTTTATCCCAGCGCCTAGCCCACAGCAATAAATCATAAATGTTAGGCTCTGCGGGGTCCTCCCCCTCCACATCCCGTCTTTGCTTGGCCGCTTCCCCGAGGCACTCACATAAACCTGAGCTCAGACTCCCGTCGGACCAAGACTTCCCGGAGACGCTGAATTTTTACCATCTCCAGTTCAATCTCCTCGGGCATCATGCTGGTCTCCGCCATGGAGATGATGTCCAGCTGATCTGTGCGGAAGACATGAAATGCAGGCGTCAAGACCCGGAGGCTGCACCGGTTTCCAAGAACTCCCTAGGGACAGCCCTTGTCCTTGTTCCAGGGACCTTCACAAACCGGAAGGCACACAGATCCCAGCCTGCACATCACGTGTCTGTTTTGGAAACTGCGAAATGCATTTCCCATGGCAACCCTGCGACAATGGGAAGAAGAGGCTCAGGCAGGCTCACCAAAACCTGCTCAAGGTTATAGACGTGGCCTTGACATCTCTGCCTGCTCCTGGCTCCAGAGCCTCTGCTCCCCTTGACTATGGCCACGTTGCCCTGTCGCAGCCTCTAAGACCCAGAGGAAAGCAGGCTTTCCTCTAAGCAGAAGAAAATTGTATAATAATTCTTATAGCAATCAATTATAATCTTACAGAAATACATATTAATAGTAATATGAAGCCAAACAGGTTTGCTGTGTAGAAAATTCAGATAATATAGGTAGGCAGGAAAGATCAAAGTCAGAAATCACCTGTAACCCCACTGCCTAGGGAGAACTGCTATCCACCCTCTGATGGACATTCTTCCAGTCTTCTCTTTGTAGTTAGTTATATATATTGTCATATGCATAAAGCCATGTAAATACCTATATATTGTCATATATAGAGAAGGCACCACATATATGTGCATATATGTATGTATATGCATGTGTATTAGTTCACTTTGGCTGCCATAACAAAATACTAGAGGCTGGGCAACTTTGTGCACATTTATTTTCTCACAGCTCTGGAGGCTGGAAGTCCCAGATCAAGGTCTGGCAGGGTCACTTCCTGATGTCAGCTCTCTTCCTGGCTTGTAGATGGGCACCTTCTCACTGTGTGACTACATGGCCTCTTTCTGTGACCAAACAGAGAGCCCTCTCATGTCTCTTCTTATAAGGATGCTAATCCTATCAGTTCAGGGCCCACCCTATGACCTCATCTGACCTATTAGTTCCTCAAAGGCTCTATCTCCAAGTCAGCCACACTAAGGGCTAGGGCTTCGAAATATGAATTCAGGGGGGTCATAAACAGTCAATTCACAACAGTATGTATATATATGTATATTTGTGTGTATACATATTGCTACATATATTGCCATTAACATTTTTGGTGTACATTCCTCTGATGTATATGTGTGGTAATTTATATGATTATATATTATATATGTGGTGTATATACATAGGGTAATATGTATGGTTTTACATATGTGTTTTATTTGTATAATATTATATATACACACAGGTATTTTTTAATTTAATATATTTGACATATAATATTGTATAAATTTATGCACACCCATGTTTATCACAGCATTATTCAAAATAACCAAGATATAGAAACAACTTAAATGCCCATTAATGGATGAAAGGGTAAAAAAATATAGAGTATATGCACAATGTAGTATTATTCAGCCATGAGAAAGGAAGCTATCCTGTCATTTGCTGAACATGGATGGACCCAGAGCATATTAAGTGAAGTGAAAGACATCAGACAGAGAAAGACAAGTACTACTGTATGATATCACTTTATGTGGAATCTAAAAAGGTCAATTCATGAAAAACAGCAAAATGGTGGTTACTAGGGGTTGGGCCATCGGGGGATGACATGTATGTTATTTAAAGGTACAAACTTGCAACAAGTGGTGAATACACACACATATTTTTTTAAGGACTGGAAAGACCCAATGTTGGTAGTTAAAAATGTTGATACATGCATACATATTAATATACATGAGTATGCACATATCCCATTATCTATACCATTTTATATAGGTCTGGTGTTTGTAATATAAAGTCAGGGTCTCACATTTTATTATCTGCTCTTTCAACTTACCAACCTTTCATGAGCATTTTCACACATTCTGGCATGTTCCTCCCACCAGGAGTGTGAAAGGCTGTGTAGTCTTCTATTTGTGGCTGTATCGTGAATCACTTCACCAACCCCCAGACATTAAGGTCGTTTTCCATTTTCCCCATGATAAACAGCCCAGTGATGAACATTCTCAAAGCTCAATCTCTGCATGCATGTAAGAGGTGACTTTAGGCCACATTTCCAGAGTGAATGGCTGGGTTTTAAAACATGCAGTACTCTAGGGGCTTTCACAGGTAGAGAAGGAGAAGTACGGGAGAGGAACTTTGCTTTCTCTGAGGCCAACATCTCCGGCAATGTGAGTATCTCCAATTTAACGTTTTCTCCCAACCTTTCTTCTCCTCCTCCCCATGACCCATCTAGACAATTGTTCACCACCCTCCTCTTGTCACCTACATCTGCTGACTCCTTCCAAACCCTACCCGCTGGTTCAGCTACATGGCATTTGTCTTTTCCCTTACCTCCAAGTCAGCCGTTTGGAAAACTGCCTTCTCTCCACCTGTCCCCTTCCTGCGACCTGGAGCCCTGGCCTGGCACACCTGCCCAGGGTCTGAGGTGTTGTGATTTGCACACTTTCCTTAAGTCAACTCCTACCCGCTTGAATCTCAGAATAACACCTCCTCCTGGAAGCCCACACGACTGCTTTCTCACCTGTGGGATACTCCTGCCATGAGTCCTTCACTAGACATCAGATTTGGGTAAACTGCCTATCCCCTAACATATCCTTTCCATAAGCCAAAATTTCCCACCTCCCCTTCACCACTCATTTTGCTGAGGAATCAGGAGGAAGGCAATTACCTGTGACTGGTTCTCCCATTGAAATAAATGGTCTCCCTAATTCTCTCTGAGATCATCTGCAATTTTGTAAGAGATAAACAAGAGCAGAGGCAATGGAAAAGGCCAAGAAATTACTCAGCGAGAAGAAATTGTGGCATGACACCTTTAGGCCTGTTGGAGATTTTCTCCCTTCTGGGTTCAGCTTCTTGGAGCAATGTCTGCTTTTTATTTTCAGAGAGCTCCCAGATTTCACAACCTAGATAGTGCAGAGTCTGGTGTTGAGCCAGGGAGGAGGGTGGTGAAAAATTGTCTAGATGGGTCATAGGGAGGAAGAGAGGAGAGGTGGGGGAAAGGGAGAAAATGTTAAATTGGAGATACTCACACTGCCTCCTCCTGCCTTCTAACAATGGCGGTCCTGAAGAAGATCCTGCTGTCAGGCTGCACCTGGTGTCCAAGGAGGGTGAAGGGGAGACAGGGAGGAGGGAGGGGTGAGCGTCAGAATGAGAAGGGACATCAGATGACTGTCTCAGGACTGGGCCTTCAGAAGGGGGAGAGATGTCTACAGAGGCTTTTAAGGAAATTGTCTCTGTGACGTGCTCAAGGCCTCTGGAATCAGATTTGGGGTCCTATGGCCCCTGACACCAGGCTGAAGTGGCCCCTGAGATTGGAATATTGAGTCCTGACTTGAAGAAGGAGGGAAGAAGGAAGGGACAGGATAAAAATATTAGTATTGATTGAGTATTACTGGGTGCTGGCTCCAACCAGATAGAGGGCCAGCTTCAATGCACGCAGACTCTGGGGACAGGGCCGTTTAGAGTTGTGGTGGCCAGGAGTGGGGCGTCGGGGCATTCTGGAGTCAGATGGAGTCCCATCTCTGCCCCTCACTAGCTGTGTGGACTTTGCCTCTTGTGACTCATTTGATCCTCTGTAAGGTGTGTATAGTAAGAGGACACACCATCCTGGGAAGTTATGAGGATTGAATTATCCAAGGCATGTCATACTCTGTGCGTGGATATGATTTCCTTTGTTATTTCTGCGGGGTCCGCTGTACCATGCCATCTCTTCTAATCCTCATCAGAAACCATCAAGATTGGGATGTCTTCTTTTTTAACAAATAAGGAGCAAAGTTGTGCCTGTGTCTGCCTCCAAAACACATGCACTTCGCCCCATCACTGCTGCCCCCTGCCATGCAGGCCTTCTAAACCCCACACACCTGTCCATTCACATCTCAGAGTCAAGAGTGGTGTCTTACTTTCCTGGGGCTGCTGTAAGAAGTCACCACAAATTGAGGATTTTACTCTTTCACAGTTTTGGAGGTTGCAAGTCCCAAATCAAGGTGTCCACAGGGCCAAGCTCTATCCAAAGCCTCCAGGGAGGATCCCTCTTGCCTCTGCCAGACTCTCAGGGGCTCCTGGTAATCCTTGGTTCAACACAGCATCGCTCCAAAGCCCCTTTGTTTCTTCCCTGTAGTTCTGTGTGTCCGTCTCTGTCTCACTGGACTCAGAGCCCACCCAAATCCACTAGCATCTCATTTCCCTCTGCAAAGAAGACCTATTTCCGCATAAGGTCACATTCTGAAGTTCTGGGTGGATATGAATTTTGGAGGGCACTATTTAATCCACTACAGGCCATGGGCCCACAGGATCCCTGACAGCGGTGAGACTCTTTCCAAGAGCTTTAGTCACCCGGATGGAAGCAGTGGGGGTCTCAGGAAGTGGCCAGGGGGTGGGCCATAATGAAAACCAGCTTGGGTAGAGAGTTATAGATCTGTGGTCTGAGGTCAATCATCAACCACATGACTGTGAATGAGCCACTTTCCTCTTAGCATCACTTTCTTCCTTTGCAAAATAGGGTTCAATAACTTTCATGTGCTACATGCTGCTGGCGCTTTATATGTACCTTCTCCTCTAATCCTTATTTTGCAGATGAGGGATCTGAGGCTTAAAGAAGGAAAGTGACTTGGCCAAAATACACAACCAGAATGTTGCAGAAACAGAATTCAAACCCAGCTCTCCCCAGACCACATGCCTTAATCACATTATACAGCCTCTGGGAGAGGTTAAACGCACTTGTGGATGCAAAAGCACTAGTTAACCACAGATGGATACAAGCATCCTCATTTCTCACCGCATGGTTCCATGGGAGTGAAATGGCTACAAATGGCAACAGACCCAGGGGCCAAGTGTGGGACAAAGGAGTTAATCACACCCCAAGGATCAACATTTTGCTTCCACCCTCTGAGAGGATGGGGGTGGTGGCTGCCAGGATCCAGGAGCTGAAAGGAGCGTTTAGTTTTGACTTGAGGCAGAGAATGGGGCTGATGCCTTGGTTGAAAAGTCT